AGTGTTTATGTAGGACCATATATACCATGGAATAGAGGTGAACCACTTGGCCCCAATGATGGTGTTTCGGTAGGAACATATATACCATGGAATAGAGGTGAACCACATGGGCCCAATGATAGTGTTTCTGTAGGAACATATATAGCATGGAATGTATTTGAGTGAATGAGTGAGTATGGCTTTACGCCGCTTTTAGCAATATTCCAGCAATATCATGTACCCATGTCGGGAATCGAACCCGGGTCGGCGTGACGAGCGAACGCTTTACCACTAGGCTACCCGACCGCCCTGGAGCCCAGGGTCCAATGATAGTTTTTCCGTAGAAACATTTACACTATGGAATAGGTGTGAACCACATGGGCCCAGTGATAGTGTTTCTGATGCTACTCTACCCATGTCATCTCGACCTGACTTATGTCCTCACTGCACTGATTCTGTTTGAACGAACTGTCTCACCTTATCGCTAAACTGTTATGACGGGGGCGTGTATCGCACGTATGTGTACACTGCTAACACAGCCTTATTTACAGAACAAAGTTGTTGTATCGTCATTTCTTTACAAGACATAACCTGTCATTAGTTTCGTGTCAGCTACATATTTCTATTTCCGAGATATGCTTTTAACCAAGATAGCTAGTCGTAACTTAAACGGGGTTTCATTGCTTCGAAATACATATATTTTGTCACACCACAATCCGTCTTTCAATATTCCCCGTGTAACGATGAATGCCTTTTATGTCTCAGATACAACAGATAATATACATGCTGAACCTCCGCCGTGGGGAGATACATCAGGATGGGGGGTGGGGGGAGGGGGGTGGTAGTCAGCGTGGGTCAATTGTCCATCAACTTCTCACGCTGGTCATACTTCCCCCTCTCACATTTTGTGTAGTCCTGGACAACCATGTCTGAAATGAGGCATAACATAAAGTCATACTCGATATTACAGACGTGTTGTCAGTTATAGCTACGTCAATAACTTTCCGTTCAGATTCAGAGGACCACAGGGCAGAACAATCAGATACGTAGTCATCCATAATGTCGTGTGAGAAATAATCATTTTTGTTGCCTGAAATTTTACTTACACTTAACTCATAATGTACACATGAAACACCAAATAACGCGCGCATTTAGATGAAACACCACTCCAAGATGGAGAAAGTAAGTGTAACTAAATGTAATTTTAAAAGAATAACGTGTTACATTCATTCGGGTAAATTAATATCAAAACAATACATGCTTTACGTTCATCACCCAGTGACTGAAAATGATAGGAAATTCAAAGCACACAAAGCCCTTCCCAACCTTTCTTACGGATCTGCCGTGTGGAGAATCCGAGAATTCAGATGTATAAACGTTGTTCAAAATCGAGCTTGTAGATGTCTCTTGGTAGTTGGTAAAACATCAAATGTGGCTGTTCGTGGTGAAATGGGCTGGCTATTACCATCAACTTTACAGCGGATCGAGATTCACCGATTTTGGAGAAAAGTGTCTGTCAGTCAATCAAGATTGGCCAGGACTGTGAGTGATTGGTCAACAAGATTCCGTAAACTGTGGACAAACACAGCTATATCCACGTTGAATGAGCTTAATCTCCATGTATACAGCATTTCTAACAGTCAGTTCGAGCTACTCAAACAGAAAATTATCATCCTTGATTACGAGAAGTGGACAACTGACCTACGGAATGACCGAAGACTTATTAATGGAAACAAGCTACGAACATACAGGCTCTTTAAATATGGCCTCAACGCCGAGCAATACGTCCAGTCGAACTTAACCCAGAATCAACGCAGAACACGAGCGAAGTTGCGTTGCGGTACATTGCCACTAGAGATTGAACTAGGTCGTTTCAGACGTCCACCCACTCCCCCCGAGGAAAGACAGTGTAGATATTGCAACTCTAAAGTAATAGAAGACGAAGTTCACTTTCTGACAAAATGTCCATTTTACTCAGATATTCGATATAACCTTTGGAAGGAAGCTACTCTACTGTATCCACTCTTCCCACAGTTCTCAAATGTTGATCAATTAATTTTTCTGATGTAGTGCATGCCTTTGCAGAAATCCCCAGCCGCGATACACAAACCTTAGCCGCGATACACAAACCCTAGCCGCGATATACAATCGCGATGTCACTGATGTTTCAACGCAGAAAGATAACGCTTATCAGTTAACACTGTATATAAGCTGTGCTGCCAATTGCACAGGTTGGATGTAGCATATATATTTTCAAACGTGCATTTCAGATTTACAAAACTTATGAGCATAAAAAATCTAAAGTAAAAGGCTAAATCATTTAAGTAAAACCTTGCTTGCAATGACGTCACACAATAAAAGTTCTATTAGATAATTTTCTTTGTCAATTTGAATTCTATTACGTATCAACTATCATATAGCTTGTACAGTAGAAATGTGAGGTGGAAGTTGGGTGATTTATTAAATTTCACAGCTTGTCCTGTCCGTCTCGTTTTCAATATGTCCGTCATTTAAGGACTGTTAATTGACGCTTCAAGCGACATGCCACCTGTTATTCATGTTACGTCTTCATTGTAGATAGATAAGCATAAATGTCAATCAGTTAAAGTCAGTATATTCATGTCCGTTTAAATGAAAGTGTATCATATTCATTGCATATATTGTCCAATCAGAATGTTGTAGGTACTTCTGTGAATGCATTCACTGTCATGTATAAAACCCTATGATTGTACTGGTGAGGGAGAAGAGAGACGCCCGGGGTGGCAGTCGACTCCGGGACCCCTAGTCACACTCCTGGTCGACGCCTACCAGTGTCGGGTAATAACCGCTCTACATGCAATATGACTTAAGCCTTATGTGAGATCCCATTTTGTCTCTCTGTGCCCTTGTTAAGCCATAACTGCCTCAACTATACTTAGGATACGTACGTGGCAAAAGTAACATTATCACAACTGACTTTTATGAATAGATTATTTACAGACGTCATATAGTGAGTGAGTGAGTTGGGTTTAACGCCGCTTTTAACAGTATTCCAGTTTTATCGCGTGGTGTCAGCTTAATGTGGGGGGAAAGCCCGAATTGATGCAGGTCTCAGACGTTTACCACTTCGGTGAAAGCCACGAGCACGGGTATGGTGCTGACAAACCTAGAAAAATAATCGGGGCGAAACCTCCTCCTGAGGATATCATTATGAGGATCCTACACTTCCTTTCTTGTCGCAACTACTGCAACCTGTACTACTATATAAAGGGATATGTCTTGGATTCAGTATTATATGGAAATACCATAACAACTACTGATACAATCTGCTATTGTACAATCTGTCCATTTGTTCATTGCAAAATCTGAAAGAATTAAATAATGATTATGTCTTCTTTACGATTAAATCAATCAAATAGTTGTTTGTATGTGTGATATGCTGGTATGCTGTTTGTTTATGTACCTATATATGTATGTATGTATTTGTGTGTGACTTGTATATTCGCATCATAATATTTGAAACAGTATGTGCAATTAATCTTAATATATACTTAACAACAAAAGTTCCTGTGAACATTGAATAAGATTTAATGCAAAGTTATGCTTTTTACCAAATCTGAAACAATTTCGGTTTGCAACAGATAAAAGACTCCTGTAAGTGTTCAAATGGTTTAGTTTGCAATAATGACTTCAGAAAATGCGTGATTTCATTAAAAGAAACACACGAACCAGTGGGATATCTGTCCACATTTGCTGGAGCATGTTTAAAGTTCCTGGAGTGTCTGTTGAACACGTGGTTGACGACGAAGGCGCCGATCCATTTCATCCCACACGTGGTTTCTTACTGCATTCGTCTGTTGCCAACGTTGCCATAAACACCTAATGGTGTTGACTCCATCCTGCTTCAAGCATACCAATGGCTCGCAGACGATCATTTTACGGACAGGCAAGGCATTTCGTATTGTTGAATAATTGCGTAATTTTGTTGTTTTTCTGAGTGGTGGTTGTCAGGACGATGCTAAATAATGCATATGGAATCCCGTTAACGCACATGTTTTTATATCTAATCTTGGGTAGTGAAATGCATGGGGCTTGCATGAAAGTCAACTTTTGCATGGAATGCATGCTTTTCTGTAGCAGCTGCGTTTTTCTGACTTGAATCCATACATGTACTACAGTATTGAAAACCAAACTTAACTTGTTTCATAAATACACTAAAATATTGATGTCACTGGTACTTTTGTTGTTGAGTATATAAATCTTCTAAGTGAAAAAAAACCCGCACACAAATTGAATAAATTAAATCAGCATATGGACTTAGTCAGTTAATTTAACAGCCAACGGCAATGACAGAGCAATCCAGCACCCTTATAGATGTAATACGTGTGTTGTGTACCGACAGACCCTGTCTGCAGCGACCACTGCCCACAAATAAGACTTACATTAGGAGGACATATCAATATTCGCTGATGGATTTCGATGGCCTTGTAACCTCACTGAATGTCTTTAATTGGGAGCATATATTGACTTATGATATGGATATTGGTCAAAGAGAATTATATTACAAAACTTGACGAAAAACTAAACACACCTCAAGGGACAAAATTGTCATGGCAGTTTGTTTAATACCATCTAAAAGAAAAACATGAAAATATAACGTCTCCTGTAATCATGTACCAAGGTAAAACAAGGTAAAACATTCGATGATAATGTTAACAGTTTCTCTTTAAACTTCCTTTAAATGATCCCGTAAATGAATCATAAAATATTAGATAGTATTACCCTTAATCAGGAAGATGTACGAGTCATCCTACTTTCAGTCGATGCCACTAAGGTGGTTGAGCCTGATGGTATAAGATATGCGGTGACAACTGTTGAGTTTATTATCTAATCTTATACAGGCAAGTGTCTCATCCATTGACTGATCGCCAGAACTGCAAGTTCAAGTGAGACGCATATCAGTATCGAATATCACAATAAATATCCTCAAGGTCAACTCGGTGTTTGCATGCTCGTGAAGCTAGGGTGATTCATATCAATCACTCGTGCATCAGAGCGGTGTCCATCACGTTGTCGGAAGTGAACTGAATGTGGATTGTATTTATTAGCGTGAAGGTGAGTGAGAAAATGTTTATTACGACAAAAACCTACACTGTACGAGGAATTAAAATCATAAAAAGCATGTTGCGAACAATGGCAGCAAAAGTGTGATGGCATTCATTATCCTTGAACTGTGATGGCATTCACTATCCAGGACTGTGTTGGCATTCACTATCCTGAATTGTGATGGCATTCACTATCCTGAATTGCGTTGGAATTCATTATCCTGAATTGTGATGGCATTCATTATCCTGAATTGTGATGGCATTCACTATCCTGAACTATGTTGGCATTCACTATCCTGAATTGTGATGGCATTCACTATCCTGAATTGTGATGGTATTCATTATCCTGAATTGTGATGGCATTCATTATCCTGAATAGTGATGACATTCACTATCCTGAACTATGTTGGCATTCACTATCCTGAATTGTGATGGCATTCACTATCCTCAATTGCGTTGGCATTCACTATCTTGAACTGTGATGACATTCACTATTCAGGACTGTGTTGGCATTCATTATCCTGAATTGTCATGGCATTCATTATCCTGAATAGTGATGGCATTCACTACCCTGAACTGTGATGGCATTCACTATCATGAATTATAATGCTAATTCTCTATCCTGGACTGTGTTGGCATTTATTATCCTGAATTGTGATGGCATTCACTATCTTGAACTGTGATGGCATTCACTATCCTTGTCTGTGATGGCATTCATTATCCTGAATTGTAATGGCATTCACTATCCTGAACTATGCTGGCATTCCCTATCCTGAATTGTGATGGCATTCACTATCTTGAACTGTGATGACATTCACTATCCAGGACTGTGTTGGCATTCATTATCCTGAATTGTGATGGCATTCATTATCCTGAATTGGGATGGCATTCACTATCTTGAACTGTGATGGCATTCACTATCGTGGACTGTGATGGCATTCATTATCCTGAATTGTAATGGCATTCACTATCCTGAACTGTTTGCTTTCACTCTCCTGAATTGTGATGACATTCGCTATCCTGCATTGTGATGGCATTCACTATCCTGGACTGAGATTGCATTCACTATCCTGGACTGAGATTGCATTCACTATCCTGGACTAAGATGGCATTCACTATCCAGGACTGTGTTGGCATTCATTATCCTGAATTGTGATGGCATTCATTATCCTGAATTGGGATGGCATTCACTATCTTGAACTGTGATGGCATTCACTATCGTGGACTGTGATGGCATTCATTATCCTGAATTGTAATGGCATTCACTATCCTGAACTGTTTGCTTTCACTATCCTGAATTGTGATGACATTCGCTATCCTGCATTGTGATGGCATTCACTATCCTGGACTGAGATTGCATTCACTATCCTGGACTGAGATTGCATTCACTATCCTGGACTGAGATGGCATTCACTATCCTGGACTGAGATGGCATTCACTATCCTGGACTGAGAAGGCATTCACTATCCTGGACTGAGATGGCATTCACTATCCTGGACTGAGATGGCATTCACTATCCTGAACTGTGTTGACATTCACTCTCCCGAATTGTCATGGCTTTTACTATCCTGAATTGTGATGTCATTCATTGTCCTGAACTGTCATGATATATTCACTATCCTGAACTGTGTTGGCATTCACTATCCTGAACTGTGATGCTATTCACTATCCTTAATTATCATGGCATTCACTATCCTGAATTATGATGGTATTCACAAACATGAACTGTGTTGGCATTCACTATCCTGCATTTTGATGGCATTCACTCTCAAGAATTTATATGCCATTCACAAACATGCACTGTGTTGCCATTCACTCTTCTGAATTGTGATGGCATTCACTATCCTGGAAGGTGATGGTGTTCACTACCAATAATTGTGATGGCATTCACAAACATGAACTGTGTTGGCCTTCACTATCCTGGACTATGTTGGCCTTCACTATCCTGGACTGAGATGGCATTCACTATCCTGGAATGAGATGGCATTCACTATCCCTGACTGTGATAACATTCACTAGCCTGAACTGTGTTGACATTCAATGTCCTGAATTGTGTTGGCATTTACTATCATGAACTGTGTTGGCATTCACTATCATGAAGTGTTTGCTTTTACTGTCCTGAATAGTGATGGCATTCACTATCCTGAATTGTGATGACATTCACTATCATGAACTGTGTTGGCATTCACTATCCTGAATAGTGATGGCATTCACTATCCCGATTTGTGATAGCATTCGCTACCTTTAAACTGTGGACTGTTATGGCATTCACTATCATGAACTGTGTTCGAAATCACAAACATAAACTGTGATTGCATTCACTATCCCGAATTGTGATGGCATTCACTATCCTGAATTGTGATGGCATTCGTTATCAAGAATTGTGTTGGCATGCACAAACATGAACTGTGTTGGCATTCACGATCCCAAATTTTGATGGCATTCACTCTCAAGAATTGACATGGCATTCACAAACATGCACTGTGTTGCCATTCACAATCCTTGACTGTGTTAGCATACACTATCCTGAATTGTGATGGCATTCACTATCACGAACAGTGATGGCATTCACTATACCGAATTGTAATTGCATTTACTTTAATGAACTGTGTTGGAATTGACTATCAATAATTGTGATGGCATTCAAAAACATGAACTGTGTTGGCATTGACTATCAATAATTGTGATGGCATTCAAAAACATAAATTGTGTTGGCATTCACTATCAATAATTGTGATGGCATTCAGAAACATGAACTGTGATGACATCCACTATCATAAACTGTGTCACTCATGCACTATCCTGAATTGTGATGGCATTCACAATCAAGAATTGTGATGGCATTCACAAACATGAACTGTGTTGGCATTCACTATCCTGAATTTTGATGGCATTCACTCTCAAGAATTGATATGACATTCACAAACATGCACTGTGTTGCCATTCACTATCCTTAATTGTGATGGCATTCACTATCCTGGAAGGTGATTGCATTCACTACCAAGAATTGTGATGGCATTCACAAACATGAACTGTGTTCGCCTTCACTATCCTGGACTATGTTGGCATTCACTATCCTGGACTGATATGGCATTCACTATCCCTGACTGTGATGAAATTCACTAACATGAACGTTGTTGACATTCACTCTCCCGAATTGTGTTGGCCTTCACTATCCTGGACTATGTTGGCCTTCACTATCCTGGACTGAGATGGCATTCACTATCCTGGAATGAGATGGCATTCACTATCCCTGACTGTGATAACATTCACTAGCCTGAACTGTGTTGACATTCAATGTCCTGAATTGTGTTGGCATTTACTATCATGAACTGTGTTGGCATTCACTATCATGAAGTGTTTGCTTTTACTGTCCTGAATAGTGATGACATTCACTATCCTGAATTGTGATGACATTCACTATCATGAACTGTGTTGGCATTCACTATCCTGAATAGTGATGGCATTCACTCTCCCGATTTGTGATAGCATTCGCTACCTTTAAACTGTGGACTGTTATGGCATTCACTATCATGAACTGTGTTCGAAATCACAAACATAAACTGTGATTGCATTCACTATCCCGAATTGTGATGGCATTCACTATCCTGAATTGTGATGGCATTCGTTATCAAGAATTGTGTTGGCATGCACAAACATGAACTGTGTTGGCATTCACGATCCCAAATTTTGATGGCATTCACTCTCAAGAATTGACATGGCATTCACAAACATGCACTGTGTTGCCATTCACAATCCTTGACTGTGTTAGCATACACTATCCTGAATTGTGATGGCATTCACTATCACGAACAGTGATGGCATTCACTATACCGAATTGTAATTGCATTTACTTTCATGAACTGTGTTGGAATTGACTATCAATAATTGTGATGGCATTCAAAAACATGAACTGTGTTGGCATTGACTATCAATAATTGTGATGGCATTCAAAAACATAAATTGTGTTGGCATTCACTATCAATAATTGTGATGGCATTCAGAAACATGAACTGTGATGACATCCACTATCATAAACTGTGTCACTCATGCACTATCCTGAATTGTGATGGCATTCACAATCAAGAATTGTGATGGCATTCACAAACATGAACTGTGTTGGCATTCACTATCCTGAATTTTGATGGCATTCACTCTCAAGAATTGATATGACATTCACAAACATGCACTGTGTTGCCATTCACTATCCTTAATTGTGATGGCATTCACTATCCTGGAAGGTGATTGCATTCACTACCAAGAATTGTGATGGCATTCACAAACATGAACTGTGTTCGCCTTCACTATCCTGGACTATGTTGGCATTCACTATCCTGGACTGATATGGCATTCACTATCCCTGACTGTGATGAAATTCACTAACATGAACGTTGTTGACATTCACTCTCCCGAATTGTGATGGCATTCTCTATCCTGAATGGTGTTGACATTCGCTGTCCTGAATTGTGTTGGCATTTACTATCATGAACTGTGTTGGCATTCACTATCCTGAATTGTGATGGCATACACTATTCCGAATTGTGATGGCATTCGCTATACTGGACTGTGGACTGTGATGGCATTCACTATCATGAACTGTGTTCGAATTCACAAACATAAACTGTGATTGCATTCACTATCCCGAATTGTGATGGCATGCACTATCCTGAATTGTGGTGGCATTCGTTATCAAGAATTGTGATGGCATGCACAAACATGAACTGTGTTGGCATTCACGATCCTGAATTTTGATGGCATTCACTCTCAAGAATTGATATGGCATTCACAAACATGCACTGTGTTGCCATTCACTATCATGGACTGTGTTAGCATACACTATCCTGAATTGTGATGGCATTCACTATGATGAACTGTCATGGCATTCACTATCCTGGACTGTCATGGCATTCATTAGCCTTAGTTGTGATGGCATTCACTATCATGGACTGTGATGGCATTCACTATCCTGAATTATTATGGCATTCACTATACCGAATCGCAATTGCATTT